TGGCAGCAACTTCGGCGGAGGCCGCAGGAGTGGCGGTTACGGCAGCGACGACAAGAGCTACGGACGCGGTCGCGGCCGATTCGACGGCGAGTGTCACTATTGCCACAAGAGCGGACACATGTGGCGCGACTGCTACAAACTCCCTGATGGTTGGACCCCTGCTCAAGGCCAAGAGGGTAGAGGAGCAGGAGGAGGGAGAGGACGAGGCCGTGGAGGCCGTGGCGGTCGCGGTGGCGGAGCTGCAAACATGAAGAGCGGAGACAACGACAAGGACCCGAGCGACGATCGATACCCGGGTCTATTCTACTTCGTGTCGACGCAAGTACCGGCTGGTCCAGAGAAGGATGAAGGCTTTGAGGAGCCAGCAGCTGTGGGGAAGGTGACCTTACACCCCCTGGACTATTGGGTGATTGATAGTGGCGCTACCTATAGCATGACACCTCGCCCGGACTTGCTCACCGAACTCGAGCCGTCACCGGTGAAGCATGTCACATCGGCTTTGGGGCAGCGAGCAGAGGTGAAAGGCATGGGCAAGGCCATGTTCAAGGGTGCTGATGGGAAGATGGTGGGCCTCAAGAACGTGCTTTGGGTGCCCAGCCTTGCTGCAAACCTGATTTCCGTGCGGCGGTTGGCAAAGGCCGGCATGGACACGAACTCGAAGGGAGCCAAGACCTACACCGCAAGGCTTGGCGATCGAATTCTTTGGGACCTTCATGAGGACAGGGATGTCTACAACGAGATGTGGCAGATCCCAGTGGTCCCTATGCCTAAGGAGAGGCAAGTGGCAGCAAGCATCAGCACCAAGGATGGAGCGGTCGGTAGCGACGATGGCGCGAACGGTCGCGCTAAGGAGAATGAGCTCAAGAAGAGCAAACCTGGAGGGACCAGCAAGTTCAGTGAACCTAAGGAGAGTGGTGCAGCAACCAAGGAGCAGCAAAAGGGTGAGGAGAACCCAGAGGCAGCAGCGGAGGAGGACTACGGAGAGAGTATGTGGGGCGCTATTGCGAGCGCGGCATTCTCCAATCCAACTTCGGCTACGGGGGAGTGTGATTGGCTCACCTTGCATCGGCGCATGGGGCATGTGGCCCTGCCCATCTTGCAGCAGCTAGTGAAGAATGAGATGGTTGCTGGCATACGTGTGAAGGGGGAGCCCGATGAGGTGTTTGGCTGCCCGACGTGCATTCAAGCCAAGTTCACCCGGTTTCCGTTCCCTAGTTCGGAGGCAACGGCAAAGGCACCGCTTGATGAGGTGGTGATGGACGTGGTGGGCCCCCTGAAGCTTGGAGCTGCTGGAGCTGAGTATTTTCTCACCATTGTCGACGTCTACACCCGCATGACTTGGGTGTACGTGCTGGCCAAGAAGAGCGACGTGGCTGAAACGTTGAAGACGGCTTGGTTCCCGATGGTGGAGCGGCAACAAGACCGTCTAGTCAAGTCAATCCGCACCGATCGAGGGGGAGAGTTCCTGAGCAAGGAGTTTGGGTTGTGGCTGAAGAAGAATGGTATTCGGCACTCCCTCACCATGCCATACTCCCCTGCAATGAACGGCATCGCCGAGCGAGCGAACCGCACAATCACGGAGGCGGCACGCGGGTTGCTCATTGAAGCCGGGCTACCCGACTATTTCTGGCCTGATGCGGTGCGGAGCGCGTGTGTGGCCAAGAACAGAGCCTTGACTCATGTGGGAGCAGACAAATGGGTGCCCTATGTGGAGTGGCTAGGAAGGAAGCCAAAGGTGGATATGCTTCGGGTGTTCGGGTGCATGTGCATGGCGCTCGTGCCTAAGCATCTTCGGCACAACAAGCTTGGTGCCAAGACGGTGTGGGCCGTGCACTTGGGCATGGCTCAAAACAGCAAGGGATGGCTTCTTTGGGACCCATTCACCAAGAAGTTCTTGGTGAGCAGGGACTGCAAGTTCATGGAGAACTTCATGTACAAGGATTGGAAGGCGGAGAATGAGGCGAAGATAGGCGTGCGGTTTGGGGAGGTGAAGAGTTCCGGTTTGGAGCATGTGGAGCTGCCTTTGGAGCTGAGCAGCGGCAGCACAACCACAAGGCAATCCTCCCTTGTGAATGGGGGAGAGGAGGCCAATGATGCAGAGGAAGAAGAGGAGGAGGTGCAGCAAGTGAGCGAGCGTGCACCGTCACTCCCTTCCCGTACTACGAGTGCTCCACGGATTCGAGCCACACCGCAGCAACGCCAAGGCCTTCAAGTCCCTGCAGCTGAGGAGGAAGGAAGGGGGAAGATGAGAGTTCAACCTCCTAATAGGCTGACCTATGATGCGCCGGGAAAGCAGGGCAAGACAGCCCTGGCCGGAGCGGCAATGATGGTCGGAGACGACGAGGAGAGTGACTACGAGGAGTGTGCCTTCGCGTTCTTCTCTCCGGTGGAGATGCCGGGAGAACCAGCAACTCTCAAGGAGGCTTTGGAGAGTAGTGATGCTGAGGAGTGGAAGAAGGCCATGGAGAGTGAGCTGAAGAGCATCGAGGAGAATGACACGTTTGAATTGGTGGAGCTACCGGAGGGGCGTACGGCGATAACGTCCAAGTGGCTCTTCAAAATCAAGTCGGATGCCGACGGCAAGATCGAGCGCTACAAGTCTAGGCTTGTAGCCAAGGGGTACCAGCAGAAGGAGAAGGTGGACTTCAAGGAGCTGTTTGCCCCTGTGGTGAAGCCGACGACGCTGCGAACCCTATTCGCGGGAGCCGCCATCAAAGGATGGGTAGTAAAGCAAATGGACATCGTAACGGCATTCCTTAACGGCATCCTTGAGGAGGAGATTTTTATGGCGCAGCCAGAGGGGTTTGATGATGGTAGTGGCAGAGTGTGGAAGCTGAAGAAGGCCCTCTATGGGCTGAAGCAGGCCCCTAGGCAATGGTACATGAAGCTGCGCAAAGTGTTGGAGGGGATCGGCTTCACTCCCTCAACGGCCGATCACTCCTTGTTCATGCTTGGCGAGGGGGAGCAGAGGAGTTTCATGGTGGTTTATGTGGATGACATCCTCATTTTCTCACCCTCTTCTGACCTTGTGAAGGAGGTGATGCTGAAGCTTCAAGACAAGTTCAAGTGCAAGGCCCTTGGTGACGTGAGCTTCTACCTTGGGCTCCACATCGAACGAGATGTGGAGAAGCGGTGCATGCGGGTGCATCAACGAAAGTACCTGGAGGCATTGGCTGCCAACTTTGGGCAGAGTGAAGGCCATGTGGCTACACCCTTTCCCTCTGGGTTCAAGTGTGTGAAGGGACCAGAGGAGGAGAGCGTTGGTGAAGAGGAGAGGCGCCGATTTCACTCGTTGGTGGGCAGCCTCATGTATGCGGCGGTAAACACCCGACCGGACGTCGCGTTTGCTACCGGGCAGCTGGCTAGGGTTGTGCAATGCCCTAATGAGGAGCAGGTAGCAGTTGGAATGAGGGTGGCCAAGTATCTTGGCCAAACACCGACCGTTGGGCTGCAATACTCGGCGGCGGCACAAAGGCGCCAAAAGGGCGCGGATGGTGTTGAACCCGGGCGTTTGTTCCTCACCGCCTACTCGGATGCTTCATATGCATCAGAACCAGAGGACATGACAAGTGTGGGAGGCTTCATATGCTGTGTTGGTGGAGGCCCAACTGCTTGGGAGAGCAAGAAGCAGGTTGACCAAGCTTTGAGCTCGGTGGAGTCCGAGTACATGGCACTCTTCCGTGCCGTACGGGAGATTGTGTGGCAGCGGCGTTTGTTGGCTGAATTGGGGGAGGAGCAGCAAGGACCTACCCCACTGTACTGTGACAGACAGGGTGCCATTGCTCTTGCTAAGAACCCTGTGTTGCATGGACTCATGAAGCACATGAGGGTGAAGTGGCATTGGACGAGGAGCATGGTAACCGCGGGTGAAGTTGAGTTGCGCTACGTGAAGACCACGGGGCAGCCGGCTGACATGATGACCAAGAGGCTGGTGGAGCAGCAGCATTGGAAGTGTTGCAAGCTGGCTGGGATGGCTCTGAACTGAGAGAGCAACATATCCTAAGGCCAACAATCCGAGGGGGAGTTTGTTGGTGCAACCCTACGGTTTGCACTCGGCTTGTTGTCCGTGTGCGTGAATGTGTGTGTGTATGGAATGGTATGAGGGCATGAGATAATATATATTTCATGCTTATAATTGTGTGTGAATGTTGAGTCATGATGTCGAGTGTGTGTGTCGAGTCAATAGCGAGTTATCGCTAGACGCGTGTTACGCGGTCGTTTGTGTCTCGCGCGCGGTTTCTATTTTGTCGTGCGCGGTTTCTATTTTGTCCTGTGTCGAACGTTCGGCGTGTCGCAGGTGTGTGCAGCAGACCCATCAAGAACTCAAGGATGAGTTTGTGATGAAGAGCCCGAGCCTTGGTGTCAAGCCTCAAGTGATTTCGAAGCTTGCCAAAAGGGTACACCTCAAGATATTGAAGATAGTTACATTACTTTGTGTAGTGTAACATTTCACTTGGTGTAGGCCCTAGTGAAGGGTAGTTTCGAGACCCTTCGTGGTTGGGGACAGTGTGGCACTGTTCCATCACTGTACCTCGGCTCTTGGGGTTTGTAGGAGCTGGGAGTCATTCCCAACTCGTAACTCTTCCTATCTTGTGTTCTAAGACTATAGTGGCTGCCATAGTACCGTTCGTTCAAACCGACGCTGTGTCGTCAATTCTTTATGAAATCGTGCAATCTAAATTGCTTATTGTAGGCGACGTCAAGACGCTCCAGATCCAATTTGAATCAAGTCATTTGCAGCTGTGAGAAGAACGCTATCAACGTTTGAAGCCGCTGTGCAGAAATCCGTCTGTGCTCTCTATCTTTCGTTTTAGGCACATTCAAGCCTATTGTGACTATAACATCTCTGACCCTCTCACCCTTAAGAGCACCAAGTGCACGTCACACCGCTGCAACTGTGGCAACTGCACCATGCACACTCTTCTGCACCCCTCTCCATCCCTCTTTGTCCCTCTCCCCTCTGAAAGCACAGGCGAAGGTTGTTTCACACAACACAAAGGCTACATCTGGGCGGACGGAGGGCGAATCTCCTGGTTCAAAGTCAAGCCAGGGAGGGGGGGCTGCACCATGCACACTCCTCTGCACCCTTCTGCATCCATCCCTCTCACCTCTGAGAGCACCTCGAGCACATCACACACAAAGGTGGTTTTGAGCGGCGCGAAGGCTAAGTCTGGGCGGAAGGAGGGAGAAACTTCCATCTCAACGTCAACACAAGGGGATCTGCACCATGCCCACCCCTCTGCAGCCATCTTAATCCCTCTGCACCCTTCTTACTCCCTGTTGAGACGCCTCAAAAGTGCACCCCTCTCACCTCTGAGAGCACTGCGCGCACGTCACAGGCGAAGGTCGTTTTGAGCAGCGCAAAGGCAACGTCTGGGCGGAGGGAGAAGAGTGGGCGGGTGAAGTCGCGCACGTGGGGCAGTCGAATGTCGTCTGGTGTGAACACTGGCATGCACACCGCTGCCCACATCTGTAGAGGGAGAGGGGGGAGAAGGGGTGGGAATGTGGTGGCGTTGGGGAAACGGTAAGGAGTGTGAGCTGAGTCGCGCACGTGGGGCAATCGAATGTCGTCTGGTGTCAGCACTGGCATGCACCCCGCTGCCCACATATATTGGGTGTGGGGGAGGTGGGTTGGGTGAGGTTGTGGTGAGGGAAGTGCAGTGTGTAAAAAGGTTGGGCAGATGCGAGTACTGGCACACATCGTGCTGTCTGCGTAACCTCGGGGAGTGGAGAGAGAACAGGGGGGTTAAGGTGGGGTTGGGGGTATGAGGGCAGAGGTGCACTGGAAGGGAAGGACCGGAGTTGTGCTGGAGCAATTAAGGAGATGTTGGTGGGATTGGGAGTGGGAGTGGGAAGGCAATCGGGGGGTGGAGGGCAGGGGGTTGCCATTGTTAGAGTTAGCCCTCAATATCAACTTTTGTACTTGTACTTTTTTTTTTTCAATATCCTAGTTTAGTGTAATTGTAGTTTGTTTCGGTTGGGTTGTGCACCAACATCCCAACCTTAGGGCGTGTAACATTGTAGCGACCAGCCCTAAAATACGACCAAGTGGCCGCTTCTGGCGAATGCGAAATGGTGTAACGATCTAGCGAACCCCGCCACACATGGCAAACACAAGGGCCATTCTGTTCGCCAGCACGTGGGACACCCACCCTAAACTACACCCATGACTGAAATTTAAAAGTTTTAATCCTAGTCTCCGCATTCGAACGGGGTGTGCAATATAAGCAGAACGGATAGAGTGTGGGTGTTTAGCAAACTCATTGGGCTTAGGGAACACGTTGGGGGTAATTCGTGGAAGTCAAACATTGATCCCCTGTCCAAAAGAAGTGTAAGTACAGGTTTCGAAGCTTAGTTGACAGAATTAGACGAAAATGAAACCACCATTACGAGTCAGGGTGACTACTACGAAATGCAAATATGTGGGCGTTACTGCAAAGAATTTGCAATCGTCAGAACCGCCCAATGGTCGCCTTTTCATGTTGGTCAGTACAATGTTACACGCCCTTACCCAAATATGATCAGCTGAAATTTTAAACCCACCAATTGGAGATTTCAGCCGATCTCATTGGGAGTTGCCCCCGATTCCCTACCCATCCTTCTCTTGCCCATTTTGCATGTTCTTACGAGCCTTGAGCTCATTACCTCATGTATCAATTCTACCTCAAGTTAAAACCATCCCCACCATCCCCACCATGCCCACCACGCCTGCCATGCCCACCATGCCCACCATGCCCACAATGTTTACCATGGCCACCATGCCTGCCATGCCCACCATGGTTTCAGACATCTCAAAACTCATGGCTATGGTGCTAGCCTCTGCCCCCATGCCGTTCTCTCCCTGTTAACCCATGCATACCTGTTTGAAAAGCATCCAGCCTCTTCAGTTAACCACCTCATGTCTTTCTTATGTCTTTGCTGTCATTCACCTCCCCCCTTCCCTCCCCCTTCCCTCCCCCTTCCCCCCCCCCTCCTTGCCTCCCTCCCATTCCCCCTTCCCCATTCCCTCTCCCCCTTTCCATCCCCCCCTGCCCTCGCCCCTGCTCTCGTGCCTCCCTCACCCCTTGTCCGGCCCTGTTCAGGGCTGCGCGGTTCCAAGCCCTTAGAAGCTTAGCAGCAGAGAGAGGTGAGTCAGGGTCAGGGCAGTCCATTTGAGTGCTTGGAACCCATTCGACACGCCTCAAGACCCATCACGCCTTTTCCCATACCCTTCCCTTCCTGGCTATCACACTCCTTTTCCCCCAGATAACCCCCAGCTCACCCCCCTAACTGATGCCAAACACACAAAGCATGCAGCTCACACAAACAGACATTCCTCCCCCTTTCCAACCTCCGCCCGCCTCCGTTCCCATCCTCATCCCCATCCCCATCCCCATCCCCATCCGCATCCTGACCCCCCAATCCATATAACCAACCGTGTAGTTAGACTGCATGACTCCAAACACCTGGTTGAATTACTGCAGCTCAAACAAACAGACACGTCCTGGCCCCACACACCTTCCTTCCACCACCCATCTCCCATCCCAACAGCACTTCCTGGCCCCCCAATTCCCCTCCAGTAACTTCCATCTCACCGTGTAGTTAGACTGCATGACCCCAAACACCTGTTCCAAACGCCGCAGCTCAAACCCGCCCGCATACCCCACGTCCGAAAGCAATCTGGGCGGGTGGCGGGAGAGGGAAGGCGGGAAGGGAGATTCGGGATGGGGGAGGGGGGGTTGGAAAATGGCACGTCTGCAGGGGGGAGGGAGGTTTTGTTTTGAGGATTCTCATAAACGGGCGGCAAAAGAATGTACGGAGGGGGGGTTTGAGGGGAGGGGGAAGAGGAGGGGAGGGAAGTAACAGGTGAAGGGAGAATTGAAACGTCGTAAGACGATACTAGGATAGGGCTTGTCTTTTGTCGCACCCTACATTGGAGGAGAGTGAGAAGGGGGGCAGCGGAAGGAGGGGAGGAGAGGGGAGGGGAGGGGAGGGGAGGGGAGGGGAGGGGAGGGGAGGGGAGTGGAGGAAGGGAAGGGGAGGGGGAAGAGCGGAGTGGAAACAACATCGGGACGGGAGGAGAAGAGGGCATGGGGTGAAGAGGCGCGTGGGTGGGGTATGTGAGTAAAGTGATACGTGTCTTAGTTTGAGAGTGCTTTTGAGGCGCCTCAAAAGAAAAGTGATTCGTGTTCTAGTCTGAGAGTGCTTTTGAGACGCCTCAAAAGAAAAGTTTTTCGTGATCTAGTCTGAGAGTGCTTTTGAGACGCCTCAAAAGAAAAGTGATCGGTGTTCTAGTCAGAGAGTGCCAGCGACTGATTTCCGGAAAATCACACTGATGTGGTGTGGTATGACATGATCTGATATGCTTTGGCATGATATGATATGTGGTGGTGATGTGTCCCTACCTGGGTGAGGAGGCGAGGGTAATGACTCGGTGGAAGAGGTCCGGCCTTTGCAGTGCGAGCAGCAGCAACAACAGCAACAGCAACAGCAGCAGCAACAGCAGCAGCAACACCAGTGGCGCAGCAGCAGCAGTGGGGACATGTGCTTGGGCCGTTAAACCAAGTGCCCCCACCTGGGTCCCGTACCTGGGCGAGGAGGCAAGGGTAATGACCCGATGGAAGAGGTCTGGCCTTTGCAGTGCGAGCAACAGCAGCAGAAGCTGCAGCAGCAGAAGCAGCAGCAGCAGCAGCAGCAACAACAACAGCGGCGGCAGTGACAGCAAGAGCAGCAGTGGCGCTATGTGCTTTGGCCATTGGGAACAGAACAACACCCTTACCTGGGCGAGGAGGCGAGGATGATGACTCGATGGAAGAGGTCCGGCCTTTGCAGTGCGAGCAGCAGCCCCACGATGCTTGCCTGCTGTTGCCCTATGAACGTGATCTCCTGCCAGGAGGATGAAGCCTGGTGGGGATGCGTGCAGAAACGAGGGGAAGAGGGCGAGATAGGAGTGTGAGAGTGAGTGAGTGAGTGAGGGAGTGAGTGAGGGAGTGAGTGAGGGCTAGCAACAAACCCACGATGCTTGCCTGCTGGTGCCCTATGAACGTGATCTCCTGCCAGGAGGATGACGCCTGGTGGGGATGCGTGCAGAAGCGAGGGGAAGAGGGAGAGATAGGAGTGTGAGAGTGAGTGAGTGAGGGAGTGAGTGAGGGAGTGAGTGAGGGCTAGCAACAAACCCACGATGCTTGCCTGCTGGTGCCCTATGAACGTGATCTCCTGCCAGGAGGATGACGCCTGGTGGGGATGCGTGCAGAAGCGAGGGGAAGAGGGAGAGATAGGAGTGTGAGAGTGAGTGAGTGAGGGAGTGAGTGAGGGACTGAGTGAGAGCTAGCAGAAACCCCACGATGCCCCCCTGCTGGTGCCCTATGAACGTGATCTCCTGCCAGGAGGATGATGCCTGGTGGGGATGCGTGCAGAAACGAGGGGAAGAGGGAGAGATAGGAGTGTGAGAGTGAGTGAGTGAGGGAGTGAATGAGTGTGCAAGCAGCAGCCCTCTCCACCTCTCTCAACTCAACCGCCCTTACTCTCCCCCCTTGTTCCCGCCCGCCCCCACCGCACCTCCCAACCCCCTTTGCATTCCCCGATTCCACATGAATCATCAGTGAATCTCTGCATACCAGCCCTGATTCCTCTTCACTGTTTGGATGCTTCAAAGTTCCAACTCCCTTCCTCACTGCATGTTTCTTCCCCTCCCCCACTTCCCCCCTCATCCCCTCCCCCCCTCCTCCTCTCCCTCCTTCCCCTCTCCCCCCCTCCCCCCTTACCCCTCTTCCCCCATCCTCCCTTCCCCCCCCTCTCCTCCGTCCCCCCCTCCTCCCCCAGGTCTCACCCGTGTGTTCTACGGCTGCCCCAACGACTGCTTTGGTGGCTGTGGATCCGTGCTGCCAGTACACTCGAAAGGATGCCACCCCTGCCCGCCCTTGTATGCTACGCTACAGCCCCTGCCCCCCACCTCATTCGTGCGTGCTTATCAGTTGAGGAAAACCGTTGACACGGCCCAGAGGAAAGCGTTGACTCGACTCACAGCCGTCCTTTTCCAACACCTACTCGTCGTGAATATCATTGCTGTGTGCGCACTCATGCACGCACCTGCCTGTGTACTCCTGCACACTCTCATTGCCCCAATCACATTGTTTCACTCACATTGCCCTGCTCACATTGTCCTGCTCACATTGCCCTGCTCACATTGCCCCACTCACATTGCCCTGCTCACTTCGTCCTGCTCACACTAGTTTTGAGTGACACGTCTCAAAAGGCGTGCTCACAGCTCGCATTGCCACCCCTACCAACTCGCATGCCACACTGCCTTCAAGCCCCTCTTATGCACTCCCCTCACCCGCCACTCCCTCTCCCTCTTGTCCTGCGCCATCCCTCCCACACACACCCCTGCCACAAGCCGTCAGCACTCCCGTGCCATGGGTTTTGAGGCGCCTCGAAAGCCGTCTCCGTTCACTCCACCCACTAAGCCGTGCTGTACCGCTTTCTTGCGTGCTGTACCCTGCTGTGTTGCGTCCTCTCAGTTCATCACTCCTGTGCCATGCTGGTTCTGCGTCTTACCATTCACTGTCAGTACTTCTCTTCCCTCCCCTCCTCCCCTCCTAACCTTCCCCCTCTTTCCTCCCTAACCTTCTCTCTTCCTACCCTCCTCCCTTCCGTCCTCCCCTCCCCTCCCCTCCCCTCCCCTCCCCTCTCCTCCCCTGCTCCCCTACTCCCCTCTCCCCTGCTTCCCTCGTCCCCTCCCTCCTCGCCTTCCACCAGCAGCCCGGGCGCACAGGGCGTGGAGCTGCTGTGTGAGGGGGGCATACTGGCCAGCGAGGCAGTGGAACTCTTCCGACGCTTCTACGAGCAGGGCAACCGTAACGGTCTGCTGTCCCTGCTCCACTCTTCCCCTCCCCGCACCCACCACTAGCAGCACGGTCATGGCAGGCAGCCCGCTGCAGTGTGAGGGGGGCATACTGGCCAGCGAGGCGGTGGACCTCTTCCGTGCGGAGAGTCACTACATAACGGGAGTGGACTACGAAGGAAGGCACGGGGTTGTCGGAATGATTGTAGCGTTGTACTAGCGTTCTTACTACTTGCGGTGTTCACAGGGGAATTTGGCAAGAGTTTCACTAGGAAATTGAGAAGAACATTAGATTACAATGAGGCATGCAAGTCGATATAGCTAGAATGGCATTGCAACACCTAGCAAGCCCTCTGCAGGGCGTAAGCCAGCGCAGCAGAAGAGCGGCTCGCCAACGCTGCAGCAGAGTCGTACTGCCAGCGTTGCACCGCAGCGGTCTGCCAGCGCCGCAGAGGCAGGTGAACTTCTGCGCATGTGCGCACCTACCAAGTAGGTGCAGATAGACGGTCGCGTCGCCAGGCACATTGCGCAGGTGCCAGGTAGAACACTTGTCGACGGTTTCGCCAGCCGTGCACTGTCAAGCACGTGATGCCATTCCGCAGGTTGACTTCTCGAGAACCTCCTGAGGCAAAGTTCGCGCACATCTGTGACCTTCGCAATCGAGCAGCGTTCGTCGAGATGAGCCCGTCGCGCATAGCTCGTCGACGGACTCGTCGCGCAGAGCCTCTCGACAAACTCGTCGCGCAGAGCCTCTCGACGGACTCGTCGACGACCGATGTCGTCGACCAGCGACTTCCGTAGAGGGTGTCGACCGAATCCCTTCGAGCAGGACCTGCTTGACCATCACCTCCGTCGACCAGCAGAAGCCTACTCGACGACCACTTCGTCGAGTGACTATGCGTCGACGGCGAGATCGGCTGCGCCCAAGCGAGGGCGGGGCCTTTCTCTTCGACACTCCCCTGCCCAGCTCACGCTTAGGCACCCACACACAAGGTCCACCCAGAATCAGAGGGATAGATTACAACGGGGATAGTGCTTCGGCGTGCACACTATGCACATCACGCCGTTCATCGCACCAGCCATGCAGAAAGGGCATGGCACCTACTTCTGCATGTCGTCATCACCGTCGCCGACGTCGGCCAGACGCACTTGACCGATTGCGACGGAGCACCAGTTGAAAGCCGGAAAATGCAGCACCTTCATCAGAAAGTCGGCCGGTTGCTCGTTGGTCGGGATGTACTGCAGAGCAATCTTCCCGAGCTTCACCATCTGCTGCAGCCAGGCATAACGTCGCTCCATGTGCTTGAGGTTGCCCTCGAGCCTCAGGCCCTCTGCGACCGTGATGGCCAACTGGTTGTACACGTGCGCCTCTTTGCCAGCTTCGGTGGCCGCGACGTATTCCGACTCGATCGACGAGAGCTTCTTGCACTTGATGCGTTGACTCGTCCAGGAGACGGCGGCCCCGCAAAAGACAAACACATAGCCATGCGTGCTGCTGCAGTTATGCTTGTCACCAGCGTCGTCGGCGTCCGCATAGCCAACCAGACATAACGACTCTGATCCACCGCCAAACTCTAGGGCAGTGTCATGGGTGTCGGCGAGGTAGTGCAGACAACGGTCGACCTCGCGCCAGTGGTTGTCACTCCGCACTGTCATGCCGCTCCCCAGCTTGCTGCACGCAAAGGCAATGTCCGGCCTTGTCGTGGTCGCCAGGCGAACTGCAGCGAGCCGACCTTCTGCCGGTATTCTTCCTCTTCGCGTGACTGCGCCTCCTCGTCGTCGAAAGTCAGCTCTGCGTAGGCGTCGACGAAGACCGGCGTCTTCGGGATCCGCCCGGTCTGCTCCTCGTTGATGAACCGCCGTCGCAGCTTGTCGACGTAAGCCTGCTGGTGAAGCCAAAACTTCCGTGCAGATCGATCACGCACGATTTCCAGCCCGAGATACTTCTCGACCGGGCTGATTTCGCGCAGCTCGAAGGCAGCCTCAAGCAGCTCCTTCAGCTCCTTCAGCATCGCAGTGCTACTGCTGGCAGCGAGCAGCTCGTCGACCCAGCACGCTACCCCGTCGTCGCCGACCTTGAAGTAGAGGGCCTCGTCGACCTGGCTCTTCTTCCAGTCGGTGCGAGTTAGCACGTCGTCGAGCGCCTTGTACCAAAGCAGCGGCGAATGCTTCAGCCCGTAGAGGCTCTTCAGCAGCTTGCACACTCGGCCGGTCCCGTCGTTGTAGTAGTCCGGCTGGTACATGTAGAGCACGCGGTCGAGCTTGCTCTGCAGGAACGCGTTCTTCATGTCGAGCTGCATCAGGTGCAGGTCGAGGACTGCTACAATGCTAAGGAAGATCCGCAGAGTCACGTAGCTCCCCACCAGCACGTACGTCTCGTCGTAGTTGGCGCCGTACACCTGCGTGAAGCCTTTTACGACCAGGCGAGCCTTCTCGTGGGCGACTGTGTCGTCGACGTGGTAATTCGTCATGAGCACCCAGCGGTCGTCGGACTGCTCCCCTGCCGACAACTCTTCTTCCTTGCCACCAAGGTCATCTACGACGTCGCTCGACACGCCATCGTCGAGCTGTTCCTCTGCCGTCGGCTCCTCTGCTGACTCGGACTGGTCCCCTACCGATAGCTCCTCTGCTGACTCCTCTGCATGCTCCCCTGCAGAATCCTTCTCTGTCGTCTCCTCTGCCCGGCGCTCCCCTGTCGTCGAAGGCTTATGCACTCGGCCGCCGAGGTGCATCTCGTCAAGTCGGCCGCCGGCGATGCCACTAACCGGAGCCGAAGGCGACACAGCAATGCTCCCTTCATCGCCGGTGGCCGACGGCGACGCCGTCTTCGGCAGATCAGCGACAAGGGGCAGAGGGGAGGTAGAAGTGGGCATAGAGGGAGGAGAGACGTCCTCGACGTCGTCATCTTCGACGGCAAGCAAAGGGGTCGCCGTCGACGAGGAATCCGTCGGCGCGACAGCAGGTTTCCGCGTCGAAACGGGGCCGTGCTCTGCCTTCCACGCCTCCAGCGACATTGTTTCGTGGAAGATGGCCTCTACGGTCGTCACCACCTTGTTGTCGATGAGGTCGAGCACCTCCCACCCCACTCTCCAGCGACACACCGAGATGAAGCCCCCAGCGGGCCTTCGGTGCCAGCTTCCCGCTGCGCTGCTGCTCAGGGACCATGAACTGCACCATGCAGCCCCACACGCGCGCCAGTGTCAGGTCCGGTTTCTTCTCAAACAACAGCTCGTGCGGCGTCGTCCCAAAATGCAGAGATGCCCGTTCGAGGCAGTTGCGCACCCAGACGGCCTGGCGCAAAGCAAGGTGCCACCAGTGGTGCTTCACGCCCATGTGAAGCAGCATCGTCCGCACAGTCTCGACGACTGTACGCATCTCCCGCTCTGCCATCCCGTTCCATTGCGGAGTATAGGGGCATGTCAGATTGTGGAGGATACCCTTGTCTTCTTCTACGAGGTCGGTGAAGACCCGACCGAGGAACTCTCCTCGCGGTCAGAACGCAGCATTTTCACCGTCTTCGACGCCTGCCACTCCACCAACTTCAGCCACTTTTCGAAGAGGACCAGCCCGTCGCTCTTCTTCGCAATCGGCCTGACCCACACATAGCGAGCCTTCCTGTCTTTCAGAAGAAAAAAGTAGAGGCTGCCATCGTTGGCGGCCACTCGAAAAGGCCCGCAGATGTCGATGTGAACCACGCCGAGCGCATTCTCTGCATCTGATCCTTGGTAGGGGAAGGTTTGCCGTGCAAGCTTGCCGCCTACGCAGGAGGCACACGGCAGACCGGCTGCGGTCGAATCCTGATGTCTAGACCGATGGCGACCTCATGCTTTGCCGAGCTCTTGACCGTGTCGACGCCGACGTGCACAAGCCGAGCGTGCCACATGTCCGGGGTCGACTTCGTCGCCGAGGCGATCGTCCGCAGGGCCACCACCTTTGCCGGGGCCGACATTGAATCCTGCGAGCAAGGTCAAAGGTCGGTGCAGAGGACCCGGCCGGTATACTTTGCTCGACCAAGGACTTGCCCCCCCGCCGAGACGAGCAGCATTTCGTCATCGACATCTTGCCGTATCACGCCGCTGTCCTTCAGCTGGCCCGCAGAGAGCAGGTTCGCCTGCACGCCCGGGACGTAGAGGACGTCAGGAACGAGAATTTGCTTCCCGGTCTCCCCTTACAGAGCGACTATGCCACGGCCTTTGACGTTCTGCAGCGCCCCGTTGAAGCCACGCACATGCTTGACGTCGCCTCCAGGCTTCATCTCGACGAACGCCTCCTTCGTCCCCATCAGATGGTGGGAACAACCGCTGTCGAGCATCACCACCGTCGGGTTTGCCTGCACGGCGGCCGCGACCGCCTTGAAATCCTCGCCGGCCTCCGGCGCCAGAGAAACGGTCGACTCTACGACGCCGACCATTGATCACGACGCCTGAGTCCGCGTCCTTCGTCGACGGCGTCGACTTCGACGTCTGCTTCTCCTTGCGCGGCTTGTTGTCTCGGCGTCGACGACCGCCGTCGGACCTCCCGCAGCCTCCCTTGTAGTCGTCGTCGCTCTCTTCGCGGTCTGGGCACTCGAAGGAGAGGTGGTCGGGGTCGCCGCAGAGCCAGCATTCCAGCCGTCGACCACTTCTGCCGCGAACGTTGTCCCGAGCCGATTTCGACCTGTCGGCATCCTTCGCCGACTGCCCACCGCCGCTACCACCTTCGCTCTGCTTCCCGCGTTGCCCCTGCTGATGACTCTGCTTCGTCGGGGCGACGTAGTTCGCCTGCGGAAGGAGCTCAACGGGCCTCTTTGCCTCCTGCATAGCCTCATCCTTGATGATGTGGTTCGTCAGCGTGTCCTCGTTCAGCGACTCGCGCACGCCGGGCATCGACATCATCCGCCGCATCAGATTATAGCCGCTCGGCAGTCCCTTGACGACGTGCGTGATGTAGGACGCCGTCGAGCAGTCGACGCCTGCCATCCGCATGTCGGCGAGGATCCGTCGAGCTCGGTTGCAGGAGTCCGTCGCAGACTCCTGCTTGCCCATCCTGGGGTGAGTCAAGCGCCCCTCCAGCTGGCCGATGTAGAGGTCGTCGGTCGCCTGGTATGTCGATATAATGAACCGCCACGCCTGGTGGCCAGCGTCCAATCGAAGTCGACACGGCTTCAGAGCGATCTGCACCATCGGCGAACAGCAGCGCGAGATGACCATGAAGGACAGCAGATGAGCCGCGCGGAATTCTGCCCGCAACTCGACGTCGTCCTCGTCCGGCGTCACCACTTCGCCGTCGGCGAAACACTTCAGCCCGGCAATTTCCAGCTGGGGCTCGATCGACTCCCTCCACGTGATGAGGTCACGTCGACCTTCCAGCAGTATAGGCACGGCGATCTTGTCCGGCGAAAATTTGAAGTAGTCGTAGGCTGGCGCAATTCCGCCAGCCGTCACGTGCGTAGAGGGTGTTGACCGAATCCCTTCGAGCAGGACCTGCTCGACCATCACCTCCGTCGACCAGCAGAAGCCTACTCGACGACCATTCGTCGAGTGACTATGCGTCGACGGCGAGATCGGTTGCGCCCAAGCGAGGGCAAGGCCTTTCTCTTCGACATTCCGACGCTTCTACAAGCAGGGCAACCCCAACGGTCAGCCTCTCCCTTCACTGCTCCACTACTGCCACTTCCCCGCCCACTGTTTCCCACGCACCGTGCCCCATCCACTGTTTTCTATTGGTTCCTTTCCCATTAATTCCTTTCCCAATTGTTCCTTAGCCACTGTTCCCCTCTCCCCTCTCCCCTTTCCCCTCTCCCCTCTCCCCTCTCCTGTCGAGCAAGTAACGTGAGAATAAATTGACTAAAGGAAACAAGAAACAAGCAAGATATAGCAAACCCTAGCAATAGTTCTAGCACAAGTGCAGCATAATGTACAACACCTAGACTAACCTAAACAAACTATATAAAAATAGTTTGACATCTCCCTCGCTCGCCCCTCTCTCCTCGCCCCTCGCCCTCGCCCCTCGCTCACCAGCACCAAGGCCCCATCGGCCCATCAAGCCAGGGACGCCTGGGGGCAGAGTCACAACCTGATCTCATGGACCCAAGCTGCTCTTCTCAGCCACCCGGCCGTCTCTTGCTCATTCCAAGCTCCCATTCGCATGGCTCTGCACTGCTGTCCTTGATCGCCCGGCCTGGGTGTTCCGTACTGCTCCCCCCGAACCTGTTCCTCCAATCTTCAGTTTCTTTGCCAGAGCTACCTACGGTTTGCCTTGTTTGAGTGTGTGCCGGGCACAAGCTCTTGAAAATAACAGTTGTTTCTTACACAAAAACTTGCTGCCACGAATGGCGAAAGCTTTCGTATGATGCTGGATCAACCCTGTTTAGCCAGATCCGTGGAAAAGAGGTCGTTTGCTGAAGATTTTGTTTTTTACGGTGCTCTGCTGATTCAGGCCCTTTCCCCCAAGTGCTGTTCCTCCTCACTTCATCAGCGGAAGAAGCTGGAGCTCTCACAGGCTGTTGAACGGTGCTATGCGGTTCCATGAGCTTGACACCGGTAACATCTGCTTGAACCATGTCAACAATTGATTTTAAATATTTGTGAAATCGTTACATGCATTCTCCAGTGGCAGCATAAGCCGTCTTCCAACCTAAGAGATGTCAACATGGTAAGACGGGGTAAAGAGATGGGTTATTGAAGAATCACTTAACAGGGAAATAATACATTTATTAATTAACTAAAAGCAGCAAATCTGACCATAATTCACCAGCGTTTGAAACACCCTTTGAGCGAACACCCCACAGATATCACTTATTATCAGGCATGATGCCACTCCACCCCAGTAAACCTAACCCACATGTGCCCCTTCTCCCCACCCCACGAAATACTGTCATTCTTATCTGCTACCCATCTTCCTCAACTTCTCCCTTCATCCCACCCCGCGAAAACATCAAATCCCAATCGTATTCAGATCTCACTGCTACTTGGCCTTCTTCTCGAGCGCCTTAGCCTTGGCGATCAGCGACTTCGCCTGCTTTCTCAGCTTCTTTGCCTTCGCCTTCAGGGCCTTCTTCCCCTTCCTGCATTTCTTCCCCTTCTTCCCCTTCTTGCATTTCTTCCCCTTCTTCCCCTTCCTGCATTTCCTCCCCTTCTTCCCCTTCTTGCATTTCTTCCCCTTCTTCCCCTTCTTGTTCTTCTTCAGGCTCCGTCTATACTCCTCCACCGCCAACGCAGCCCCTTCCGCTTCCCCAGGGGAGAGAAAGTCCTCCTCCGCCAGAACGCGAACAGCGCGCGCATGCGGCGACTCCCCGCCCTCCGCCGCAAGAGCCCGGTTCGTTATAATCACATCCGCGTCCTCGCGTACGTCTCCCGTTAGCGCCTTGCCCGTGGCGAGAAGGCCCTCATGCTCGGGATTTGCGGCGAGTGTGGCGAGAGCAGTGTTGTATTCCGCCGTCGCGGCGGGCACGTGCGCCGAGACGAGCACACAGACCATCAGCAACAAAACGCGAAGCATAGCCATCGTAAAAAAAAAAACCTCGAATTGGACTCAACTGATGAAAGTCAAATGGGTTTGGATTGTGAATCTTCAACTGATGAAAGGTACGGAATTGCGCAGAACTTTATGTATTGCCGAGCGCTCTGCAGAGAACTGGTTTGTGAAGGCAGCTGGAGGCTGTTTGTGCGACGCGGACTCGGTCACAAACGGGAGGAGATGTCGAAGCGCGCTACTTGAAACCATCATTGGTGTCGCCGTCAAAGACGCAAAAATCTGGAGCCCGCAAATCTGGTTTCTGCGACACCGTTTCGCTTTTCCAGACGACAAAAGTGCAGTTTCGATTTTTCGCTACAGCGAATCGTAATAATCTGCCGCGAAAACTTCGCCAAAATATAGTGAGTATCTGGTTACCATCACATTTCGCTTATCAGCCAATAATGCCAGGCATAGAAGGACGGTGAAGGACGCAGTTGCCCAGAATTCATCGCAATAATTCCACAAAATGAGGCCGATCTGTAGGGCCGTGAAGTGCGACGATTTCAAGTATTCCCAATAAACGGAAACAGATCAGGTGCGGAGTGCGTACGCACTATCAGCCTTTGTGGGCACCACGCTTGTGACATACCCAGACATTCTGTTGATTTTTTCACTATGAAGTTTTGGGCTGTAATCTTCTCTACAGCATCATCATCAATTTACTCGCATTAGTTAGCAATTCTATGTACGCCCGTGCAGCTCTGGCGCAATATTGTTTTTGTAAAATTCATTTCAATTTCCATTCCAATGCAATTTGGCAAGCCCAGGACTTTAAAAATACTGAAAAAAAAAAGGCATGACTACGTATTACAAGGCATAATTGGGTAACAACATACCTACGCATATTTGGCATGTGAAATGCAGCAGCGCCAGAACTCATCACTACCGCACTCTCAGAAGCACTCAGTCCATGCACAGGGCCCCTCCCTCACTGCCAAAAGACCACCATCACGACTTTCCTCTCCCTCTCATTCCCACTACCTCTCACTTCCACGAACTCCCTCACTCCTCTCACTCCAGACCGAGGGCCCCATCCCATCAATCCCAGCCCTCCTCCACCACTCTTGTCGGCGGCAGCACAGACGAAGGGATCGCGAATCGCGTGCTGACAGTCTGGCGACATGATTGGCTCTGCGCGTCCCGTAGCGGCATGCTGATGTGGCGCAGGATGCTCGTCGCGACGACATCTGGACGCACGTGCAGCGAGGTGACAGCGAGGATCTCTGCATACGAGTTGGGGATGGCTGCGAGCATGTGCTGAGTGGTGGAGTGCGGTACCGTGGGGTCGAGTGCGATCAGAAGCATGTGCGTCTGTACTAGTACCTGGGTAGGTGGGGGTAAGTTGAGTCGGAACAGCAGAGAGATGAATGCATCTAAGTGATTGAGAAGGAAGAGTAATTATGGAAAATATGAAAGGTGATTTCTACACATACATATTCATCCTCGTCTCTCTCAACCCTACGAGCATATGCATGCAGGAAATACTTGCTTCGCGCATGATACTTCTCACACATATGGCAATCCTCAAAAGGGCTTTCCACTTGCGCATACAACCCCTTTTCATACCGCCTCGCCCTGTCCTTTCTCCGACCCTCTCACCTCTGGGAGCACCAAGCACACATCACCTCTGCACCCATCTCCATCCCTCTCCATCCCTCTCACATCTGAGAGCACTGCCTGCACGTCACAGGCAAAGGTAGTTTCACACCACACAGAGGCTGCACCTGCGCGGAGGGAGAATTTCCTGGAACAACCTCAAACC